GCCCTTCTCAGATAATGAGATTGATGACTACCTTATATGCCATCCTAAAGCCTTCATTCCTGTAGCTGATGGAAGCAGAAGCAGACATCCCACAGCTAAACACTGAATTGAACTCCCAAAATCCAGTTCCAGAGAAATAGGAGTGATGAGCAAAGGGGTCAAGATAAGGCTGGAGAAGCCCACAGAAACAGTTGGTCACCCGTACCCTCCTTGGGGAGCAAAAAGGGGATAGGATAAGGGGTCAATGGGGAGAAGGGGAGGAGGGAGAGGGAACTGGGATTGACATGTAAAACAAGCTTGTTTCGAATTTAAATTTTAAAAAGTTAAAGAAAAATTTAGAATTCAACAGCAACACTAATTGCAGAAAGCCCACAAGCCAATTGAACAATGCTCAACTGAATCATCACTGCGTCCAGGGAGAGATAAAGAAAGAAATTAAAATTCTCCTAAAATTCAATGAGAATGACTGGACAGCATAGCCAAATGAGCCTTACCTTTCCAAAGAAAGCCATTTTAACAAAAAAAATATAATTACTCATTTGTAAACATCTTCAGTTACCTAAATGCTAGCTGTGCATTGTTTTCTGTGTGTCTACATCAGCCTGCTGGGTAGCTCTGCCATTCATGTTCATGATTTAGTAAGCTAAAGAAAAACCTGTATGAATTTTTGACTAGCTATAAAGAGAAGGGCTCAATCAAAACTAAACTGACCATGTTTTGTATATGGGTTCTACCCCATTTTTCAATTCTTAATATAAAAATAAAAGTTTCAAGTAGTGGTAGTAGCAGTAGTAGCAACAGTAGTAGATGATTTAAATGGCAAATTTTGATCTCATCTTCTTGAATCTTGTATTTCGTATACTATAAATTTTTAGGATTTTTTATTTTTATTTTTAAATATTTGTATGTGGGGGGTATTTACATATGAGTTCTGGTGTCTGTGGAGGCCAGAGGTATCTGAGCTAGCCTCCACAGTTACAGGTAGCTGTGAGTCACTTGACATGCAAGCTAGGAACTGAACTTGGATCTTCTGCAAGAGCAGTATGTGTTCTTAGCCACTGAGCCATTTGTCCAGACCCAAGAATTATAAGTTTTTTGAACAGGTCTGAAATTATTATATGGAGTCATAAAGCTCAACTGTGTAAGAGTTAATGATAGAGTTTGAAAAATATCTACTGTTGAGTAGGGAAATGACTAAGTGGGTAGCATTGCTTGCTCAGCAAGTATAAGGACCTGCATTTGAAATCTCAGCATCCATGTAAAAAGTCAGGCACAGTAGTGTGTGCCTGTAACCCCAGTGTTTGTAAGAAGCAAAAATCAGATCCTGGGATCTCACTAGCCAAACTACAAGAGCAAACTTCAGTTCAGTGAGAGACCCTGTCTCAAGGCAGTAAAGCAGAGTTGGATAGAGAAAGGCATCCAACACCCTGCTCCAACATCCAAAAGAGCACATGCCTGTACACTCATGTGTACACCACACACACCACAGCAAAAAATGAGGTGTCTATTGTAGAAACTGTAACATACAAATGAATTCCCAGTAAGTTCACCAGCAGTTTTTTTGATCTTTTCATCTTAACCCTGTTAATTTCTTGACTCTCTCCTTTTCTTCCTTTCAGCTTCCAGATTATGTGGGCCAGCTAGTCACGTACACCTCCTTATGCATGATTATAGACAAGTCCATGTTGATAACAGGGTGGGGTGGCACGGGCCCTACATCCTGTGAGTGTGCAAGGCAGCACACAGGGAGAACAGGCCTAGGACATTCCCAACACACACATCTCACCCTGCCCGGCTATTGCAGCTCTAGAGCTGCCAATGACCTACTTAAAACCACCAGCCAAAAAGAAGAACAAAACAAAAAAGAAAACCTTTCCTTTAGTCTTCTTCCCTCTGAAAAGATATGTATAATTCAGCCCTCGTTCTCAACTGTGTAGCTGGCCCTAAATTTTTAACTGAGCTATTCCCGCTGCTGCTACTGAAACTCACCACGCACTGGTGCTGTCCTCAGCAGCAGCTGGACCTACGGAAGAGCATGCTTCTCCCCCTGACCCAAGTCACACAGGTGGCCCAGGCCCTGGCTCCTTGGCCCCCCAAGCTCATCTGACACTTCCTGTGCCTCTGGGCACAGCTCCGTCTAGTTGAATCTCACTTCTTCCAGACTTGTCACATGTCCCAGTTCTCACTTTCTTGTCACACAGTCCTTTATTTAGGCCCCCTCCTTATCTTGACTGAGAATATCTAACAGTGTCCTGTGGTCCATGCATTACCCATAATGCCTAGACATGTGAACTAAACCAAAATGAAGGCTATCACAGGGTTAAAAACACTGTACAGAGGTATGCCAAAGCACGTGATCTCAGGCAATGACAGTCTGCTGTGAGGAACCATCACCAGAGAAATGTGGGACAGTGGGGCTCCTGGCCACTTCCCAGGGCAGCAGTGTGGATCAGACACCACAGGTCCTGAGAAATGGCGCCCTGAGCTAATGACAACCAAAGCCCCGGATTAGAGGGCATGCAACAGAAAGCCGTGTGTGTAAAGTGCTATCCATCACTCACTGAGGTCTTCCAACTACATTTATGACCCATTTGAAGTGAGGCTGTTCTGAACAATCCAATGCTGAGAGCAGCTGTGCTTTGCTTGGGAATCCACTTTCTTCTTTCTTCCCTTTTGCCTTCATTGTTTCTTCCCTTCTGTTTTTCCTTCCTTAACTCCCATTTCCTAACCATCTGAGAATACAAGCATGCACATGCACACTGACACACACTAAATTGCTGTGAAACAAAGCAAAACAACAAAAACCCTGTAAATCTGTTCCAAGGGCCATTAAGTGAAAGAGTAGCATGATATGAATATATATGTATTGTGGAAATGTCTTTGTGTGCATATATAATTACCTCTCAGTATTGGTGGCACCCCACTTAGGACACCACCATCCACAGATGCTCATCTCATATAAAATGGCATAGTATTTACATGTAAGTTCATATGTCTAGGTTACTTAATACTCATTGTAGTGTAAATGCTATATAAAGAGATATTATTGTCCTTGGGGAATACTGACAAGAAAAATATCTGTACACGTTCAGTACAGATAATTCTTTTCTGAATAGTTTTTATCAGTTTGTTGATTAATTCATGAATTCACATAAAATCTCACTTTGGAAGAATGTTTCTAATCAGCTTTTTCCTCAAATATGACCCATTTATCACTGCCATTTGAGGAGTGTATGGGTGGGAGATCAAAGTCCCCTTAAGAGTATAAACAGCATAAAAACTGTGAGTATTTTTGGTCAACAAACAGCCAGTAACCACAATATCAATATTCATATCCCAGCACACAGAGACTACCTACCACAGGATAGACCATTACGAAACACTAGTGGATAAATTAGCTTGTTTCAATGACTGCACTAAGTGGAACACATTTTTTTTAGAAACCAAAGATCAATTAAGTGACTTTTTCATGATCATCATGACCGAGGGGTGTAAAGTGAATTTTAAGCTTTGTTTGGTATAAATAATCCAAAAGACACATTTCATGCTAAAGTAAATAAAGTGGTGGAAAAATTCAATTCCAGTAATTCAATAGGAACCCAAGGAACTATCCATCTGATAGAGTTAACAGCTAAGAGTAACAATAAACATAAAATAAAATGATGGGACTTAACCAAGAACCATATGCTTTATTAGAGGAGTGAAAGAATAAGATACCCTTGGCCACAAAAGAGAAAACACTGCCTGTCAGAGCTGAGGTGACGATTCTGCTCTTCATTTCTTGACATGTGGTGTCAGCTGCAGGAGTAAAACACTCCCTCTTTCAAGCAGGAACCCAAGTCGGGGGGGAGAGAAGACCTGTCCGCCACCATGGCTGAAGAAAGGCGATAGAATCCAGAGGGCAAGCAGAGCCACAGGGTGCTGTTGTCTTGGGGTCCTGATGTTACTTGCTCTTGAGTGGGCACTTCTGCTGGCACAGTGGAGGAGCACGTTGCACAGGTGGGCAGGAAGCAGGTCGACGTGGATCAGGGTACCTCAGAGGAGGACACAGATCAGGTGAAGGGCAGAGCTCATGATGCCACTGTGGTGAGCAGGGATCAAGACTTTGTAGTGCAGGATAAGATTCTGGGAACCCTGGGAGAGGACAAGGCTCCAGACTCCTCACCAGCGGACAAAAGTCAAGACACTCTAGTGGAAGGCGTTGTTCAGAATATGGCTGTGGTGAGCAGGGTTCTGAGCAGTGTAGTGGAGGATAGAGCTCCGGGCGTCTTGGTGAAGGGCAGGGCTCTGGATACTGAGGTAGAAGGCAAGGTTCTGGGGACCTTGGTGGCAGGCAGGCCTCAAGACAGTGTAGTGAAGGGCAATGCCCAGGACACTTCAGTGGTGGGCAGGGCTCAGGACACTGCTGTGAAAGATAGGGATCTGGGCATCCTGGCAGGGAACAGAGCTCTGGACACTGAGTTTGTGGGCAGGCTTCAAAACACAGGAGTGGAACACAGGGTTCTGACCACTTCGGTGGAGGACAGGGCCCTGGGGACCTCGCTTGTTGGCAGGACTCAAGACACTGTGGTTGAGGGCAGTGCTCAGGACACAGGGGTGGAGGGCAGGACGTTGGGGACATTGGTGGTTGGCAAGGCTCAAGACACTGAGGTTGAGGACAGTGGTCAGGACAAAAGGGTGGAGGGCAGGCCTCTGGGGACCTCGGTGGTTGGCAGGAATCAGGGCACCATGACTGAGAGGAATGGTCAGTATGCAGGGGTGGGGGGCAGGGCTCTGGGGACTTTAGAAGTTGGCAAGTCTCAAGACCCTGCTGTTGACGGCAGTATTCAGGACAAATGGGTGAGGAGCAGGGTTCTGAGCACTTCAGGCTGGACCTCAGTGGTTGACGGGACTCGGGACACTTTGGTTGAAGATAGCGCTCAGTACACAGGCGTGAAGGGCAGGACACTGGGGATCTCTGTGGTTGGCAGGACTCCAGACATTGTTGTTGAATGCAGTGCTCAGAATGCTGGGTTGAAGGGCAGGGCTCTGTACATCTCAATGAAGAGCCGGGCTCTGGGCACCTCAGTGAGTGGCTGGGCTCTGGGCACCTCAGTGAGTGGCTGGGCTCTGGGCACCTCAGTGGAGGGCAGGGCTCTGGGCACCTCACTGGAGGGCTGGGCTCTCGGCACCTTACTGGAGGGCTGGGCTCTGGGCACTTCACTGGAGAGCAGGGCTCTCGGCACTTCACTGGAGGGCAGGGCTCTGGGCACTTCACTGGAGAGCAGGGCTCTCGGCACTTCACTGGAGGGCAGGGCTCTGGGCACTTCACTGGAGAGCAGGGCTCTCGGCACCTCAGTGGGTGGCTGGTCTCTGGGCACCTCAGTGGGTGGCTGGGCTCTGGGCACTTCACTGGAGGGCAGGGCTCTGGGCACCTTACTGGAGGGCTGGGCTCTGGGCACCTCAGTGGGTGGCTGGGCTCTGGGCACTTCACTGGAGGGCAGGGCTCTGGGCATCTCACTGGAGGGCAGGGCTCTGGGCATCTCACTGGAAGGCAGGGCTCTGGGCACCTCACTGGAGAGCAGGGCTCTGGGCATCTCACTGGAGGGCAGGGCACTGGGCATCTCACTGGAGGGCAGGGCACTGGGCACTTCAGTGGAGGGCAAGGCTTTTGGCACCTCAGTGAAGGGCAGGGCTCTGGGAACCTCACTGGAGAGCAGGGCTCTGGGCATCTCACTGGAGAGCAGGGCTCTGGGCACCTCACTGGAGGGCAGGGCTCTGGGCATCTCACTGGAGAGCAGGGCTCTGGGCACCTCACTGGAGGGCAGGGCTCTGGGCACCTCACTGGAGAGCAGGGCACTGGGCATCTCACTGGAGAGCAGGGCTCTGGGCATCTCACTAGAGGGCAGGGCTCTGGGCACCTCACTGGAGAGCAGGGCTCTGGGCATCTCACTGGAGGGCAGGGCACTGGGCATCTCACTGGAGGGCAGGGCACTGGGCACTTCAGTGGAGGGCAAGGCTTTTGGCACCTCAGTGAAGGGCAGGGCTCTGGGAACCTCACTGGAGAGCAGGGCTCTGGGCATCTCACTGGAGAGCAGGGCTCTGGGCACCTCACTGGAGGGCAGGGCTCTGGGCATCTCACTGGAGAGCAGGGCTCTGGGCACCTCACTGGAGGGCAGGGCTCTGGGCACCTCACTGGAGAGCAGGGCACTGGGCATCTCACTGGAGAGCAGGGCTCTGGGCATCTCACTAGAGGGCAGGGCTCTGGGCACCTCACTGGAGAGCAGGGCTCTGGGCACCACACTGGAGGGCTGGACACTGGGTACTTCAGTGGGGGCCAGGGTCCTGAGCACCTCACTGGAGAGCAGGGCTCTGGGCACTTATTTATAAGCACAGGAGGCAGCTGGCAGGGCTGCTTGCACTGCTGTCCTTGGTAAGACATCTCTCCAGGGTCTCAGAGAATCTGAAAAATAAACAAACTATACTGTTCACAAGAGGACATCGATCCTGCAGTTTCTGGGGGTCTGTTTCTTGATAGTCTATTCATTTGTATACTTCCTCAGTCTTCTCTTTTAGGACATTTTACCCTCAGTTCTTTAGTCGTTTGTCAGATAACACCTATTCTTCTAGTTTCTAAGGACGAAATTTTCTATGAGACAACAACGGGTGCTTTATACTATAATTCTAGACAATCCTAAAACAAATATGCAGTTATAACACAAAGCTGTGACTATCATCTAGTTCAGCTGAGTAAGGCACTGTCCAGGTGTTACCTGAGACTTTGTGTCAGGTTCCAGAGCCAGTGTCAGGTGACACTTAGAAAATATGGAAAATTCAGTGACAACTAAAAAAGTTTCTATAACCAGAAATGGTGTGTTCATTCCTCTCTGGCTGCACAACTCAAATTTATTCAGTTGTCCTATGAAGGTCCAAACCCAAGTCTGGGGGAGCTGCGTCTGGAATGGATATGGAACTATTCAAGACTGTCACTTAGACGTATCTTCAACACCATCCCCTCATCACCTTCAAGGACATCTGCAAAATGAAGCTAAATTTACAGAAAAACCTCATTATCCTCTTTCTTCTACCCACACATTAACAGGCTAAATAGTCATCTCTGACCCAACTTGAAGCCCACCGTTCCCCAAGTGCCAAGAAAAGCGTCTGCAGTTTGTACTCACCAGTCTGCAATGCAGATCTGCACCTGAACGGTAAGAGGATAGCTTCGGGGTGGTGGGGATCTCTTTTAAAAGGCCCAGGTGACCCAATCAGTAGGAACAGCCCAGGACTGCAATGGTGTGTTTATTTCCCAACACAAAATGCCAGCTTCTTGCAATCTCAGAAATGGCTTGCCACACTCATACTGATAACAGAAAACTTCCTTGTCTGCAACTGGCCTTACCTTCCTCAGGGGGCCATGTGCAGTGATTTCCTTGAGACCTCGCCTCAGGTTTCCTAAGACACTGTCAGGTGACATCGGAGAACATGTGAAGTTCTATGACCCCTGGAACAGTTTCTATTATTAAATTTTTTTCTCCTTTCTCCCCTGTACATGGCTTCTCAAGTGTCCTGTAGGTAAGGCTATTCAAGTTAATTATTCAAATTCTTGTGTCCACTGTATGCTTTTGCTCTCTCACAACAGAAATCTGCAGGTTTTTAACTTCAGTCATATTTATTTTTACTACTTGTATTCCCCTTGTCTTGGCCTATTGATCCATGTGTGTTTCTGGAAAGTTCATTGACTTGTGCCAAATAGCCTCAGTTTCCCTCAGGCTCAAGATCCTCTCTTGTTGAGCATCCCTTAAGTTACATTCATGGACTTCAGTGGGGGACCTCACCCCTCCATATTGAAGGCTATCAGAGTAACGTCGGAGCTCCCAGGCTCCATGCTTGCAATTTAAACAGTGACTTTTTCTCTATTGTCTTTGGGACCATGAGTGGCTGTGAACTACAAGGTCATTTTCTCCCATTTTCTTCCAAAGAGGTTCAGTGTCTCAGCCGCATCCTTTGAAAGCCATAGCTACTGCATGCCACTTTCTTCTACATGAGTTGACTAAGTTGACTCTTAAACAACTTCTCCCCTGTTGAGATGGCATTCAGTAAGACTTTAGGCCTTCTTTTCACACTCAAACAATGGAGTTCTTCAAACAATTTATCACACATTAATTGATGAACATCTTATATAAATTCTCATATGATTGGCACAGAACCTGTTATAACTTCTTAGTGTAATGTATTAAACTGAAGTAATATTAACCTCCATGAAGCTTAGTTCACACTGATGTACACCATGGACTATTTATTACTCTTTCAAAGCTCTGCTGGAAAAAAATCAAAGAAACATATAATAGGATACAGAGTATGTCTCCCAGAAAAGTGAACTTTAAAAAGGAGCTAATAACTAACCAAAGTAATCCATAAATTCAGAAATCCCAAAGAGTCCCTGAACAATGGCATTGTTTAGAATAAGTCCTTCTTGCTGCCCCCTGACCTCCTCTCTGGAGAGAACAGGATGAGAAATACCATAATAGAGGAAGTCATTATAGGTTTGAGGAGAGATCTGGCACCAGTGAGATCTTTAGCTATCTATAAGGATAACACCAACTGGCAAACTAAGCAATAGTGGAGAGACTACCTTAAATGCCCATCCCTGATGAGTTTGACGACTTACATGCCATCCAGTGACTGACGGAAGCAGAGGCAAACACCCACAGCTAAACACTGAACTGAACCCCTGGAAACCAGTGACAGAGAGGGAGGACTGATGAGCAAAGTGGTAAAGAATGGGCTGATAAAACCAACAAAAACAGCTGACCTGAACATGAGGGAGCTCTTGGACCCCAGAACGACAGCTGGGAGGCCAGCAAGGGACTGATCCAGACCCCCTAAATGTGGGTGTCAGTGAAGAGGCCTGGACAATCTATGGAGCCCTGGGCAGTAGATCAGTATTTATCCCTGGCATATAAATGGACTTTGAGTCTCCATACCACAAAGGGAGATGCTCTCTCAGCCTGGTCTCTTGGGGGAGGGCCTAGGCTCTGCCCTGGATGAAATGACAGACTCTGGATATGCCCTATGGGGAAGAGAGTGGGGACAGGGTTGGAGGCTGGTTGGAGGTGGGGGTGTGTGGGGGAAAGGGAGGGAGAGGGAGCTAGGATTGACATGTAAAGCAAGCTTGTTTCTAAATTTAAAAATGTAATAAATAGCTTGGGTCTCAGCACTTTGGTTTCATAGATGGCTATCAGAAACTGACAATCCAATGGAGTACACAAGGAACACAGATGGTCTTGGAATGGATGAGGTGAAGCCCAGCATTTTTCTGTGTTGCTATCCTGGAGCCCATACCTGTATAATAAAGAAACATAGAGAATACACAGGATTTAGAACAATTCTCACAATGACATTTTAGACTTGTTTTTGCTTCAGGAATGTCAAGGAGATTCCAGATTTAGTTTCACCAAAAGCATTGTTTGGTTTATTATTTATGATTCATTAACTGAAGATCCTATTTTCTCAAGAAAAAAACAGTCTATAAATTTTCAACTTTACAAAGAAGGTCTACTATTTCATAATCTACATAGGAAATAACTAAAGAAGAATGACTCATAATGTTCCTAATAAACACTTGAAATATTCCATGCAAAACAAATCTGATTTCATGATGAAAATAAAATTATTCCTATGTTAACCAACAATAAACCAAGGTTCTCTTGTGCCAAATAATGTCTCTAAATTACAAGGGATATAAAATTAATAACGAAAATGAACAGAAGTAATGAAGTGCATGTCTTCATCTCACTCATCTTAGATGGAAGTTTTCAATTTCTCACTACAGAACCCATATAAGCTCCAAGTAAGACACAGCTGCCTTTTATCATGTTAAAATATGTTTCCATACATTTATGTTCTAAATGTTTTTATTAGGGAAAGTGTCTGTTACTGTCACAAGCATTTTTGCATTCATTGAAATGACTTGTGACTTTTACCCACACTTCTGTTCATATGCTAATATATATATATATATATATATATATATATATATATATATAATCTATGCTCATCCATTCTTGCATCCCAGGAATAATTGCCACATGCTCATGATATATGATCCTTTTAGTATATGCTGATTTGAGTTCACTAGAATTTTGTTAAGAACTTTTGGAGTTGTAATCACATATTCATAATCATGAATAGTAACTTGTGGTTCTCTTATGGTGTTTTGTGTTCTTTAGCTGTTTGGTAAAGCTCACTATTGCAGGCTTGAGAGTATAGTCTTTCTTTCATTGAAAAAAATAACAGCCTTGATTTTTCATCTAAACAAATGTTCTACTTCTCCAAGATTCAGTCACAGCAGGGTTCATGTTTTAGTAATTTATTCTTGTTTCTGTCTAATTCAATAGCATAAAAGTGTCCACATTTGTCTGAAGAATTCTCTTTAGATTCTCATGACCTGAGTTGTAATATCATCTCATTCATTTCTGACTTTAAGTTGTTTCTCTTTTTACCTTTATTTAGTTATGCTTGTGGTTGTACTTACTTTAAACAACACTTGATTTTGTTGGTTCTTACAGTTTTGCTAGTCTTTATTTCAAATATATCAAATTATACCCATTAAATATATATACTTTGTGTAGAAATTACACAAGACTATAATTGCTTTGAAAATTACAGAAGGCAAGTCACCTGCCACAGCCATTATGCAGATCTTATGTATGCAACCTTATCAATGAGTTTTAGGAAGCACACATATCATGCTGATTGTCCACGAGGGTAAGAAAGTACACAATGGAAAAAAGCCAGTCTCTTCGACCCCCTCCCTTCCTCTGGCTTTTATTCTCAAGTCTTTCTGTTCCTTCTATAGTGTTATCTGAGCGCTGGGGAGGAATAGGCATTGATACAGATGTCCCATTTAGAACTAAGCATCCAACAGTCACTTATACTCAGGACTCTCACCAGGCATTTTTTTGCATATGCACCAAGAACTCTTCATCCATTGGTCTTTTGATTCCTCTTCTGCTTCTGAATGTTGGCCGTTGTGAATTATACTGTAACAAACAGGGCATGCAAGTGTCTCTTCTGCATGCTGATTTTATTTCTTTTAGAACAATACCGAGGAGTAGGATAACTGAAACACATGATGACACAAATATTAATTTTTTATGATTGTAAACACATCAGTTTAATGAGAATACTATACTACATCCACAATTTTCTAGACATCCACCTTAACATTTATTTTGTTTGG